GAGGGGAAGAGGGCCTTGTTTGCATCAGGGTTTTCTCTTCCAGCAGCATTTGCTCGTTTATGTGTTGCTTGCTTGTTTATTTTCTGGTTTTCTGAGACACAGTCTTAGGTATTCCAACCCAGCCTGGAAATCCATATGTAGCCCTGGCTGACCTAGAACTCAAAGCAGGCCTCCTGCCTCAGCCTCCTGAGAACTGGGATTCACAGTAGGCATGAGTCACCACACCCTTACAAAAAAGCCAGCTTCCCTCTCTCCTGGAGCTTCCTCTTCTTTATCCCCAGGGGTGGTGACTGTTAGTGAGAGTAGTCCCACTCTGTGAATGATGTCATGGCTCCAGGGAGCCACTGGAGTGACAAAATGCCAGCCACCACAAGAATAAGGAGCAACTGGAGTGCTCACATACTGCTGGGTTTGCACAGACATTGGTACACAAACCCCTGGACTTCCTGTAAGGTGAATCACGGACTTCCTGAGTGACAGCATTCCCACTCCTAGGTGTTTCCCTGAAAGGAATGGAAACATGTCCATAAAACAAGACTGTGCAAAGCCCTGCACAGCAGCCTTCTTCCTAACAACAGACCAAAGTGGAAACAACCCAGATGTCCATCAACAGGAAAGCCAGTAAACAAAATGCAGTAGACCCACACAGTGACTACTGGAGAGAGACAGAGAGAGAGAGAGAGAGAGAGAGAGAGAGAGAGAGAGAGAGAATGTGGATGTGTCCCAGGTCCATGATACAGCATGTTTCAGTCTCGAAGGCCTTATGTTGAGTGAAAAAAGCCGGATGACGGATCAAACAAACTCATACTCTAGAGTGTCATTTAGGTGATGTTCTAGAATCAGCCAGACTGTTGTAATGCCATAAATCAGGACAGCCATTGTTTTGTGGGACAGAAATTGGCTGGAAAGGATAGACACAGGAGGGCCCTCTTCCAGCCATGTGTGTACAGCACACCTGCCTGTCAGCCAGGCCTCCTGAGGGCCACACAGCTCCCCTCTGTGTATGCTGTTGCACCCCCACCCTGGGCAGACAGAGCTGTCACCACCCTGCAGAAAACAGCCCACTCTAAAGCCAAATCCTTGAATTCCAGCACTCAGAAGACGGAGGCAGGAGACTGAGGCAGGGGCTCAAGGCCAGCCTGGGCTAGAGAGTAACACCGCTTCAAAAAACAAAACAAACAAGCATGCAAACAACACCAAAACCAGCACCCAGTAGAAAGGGAAGAGAATGCGCTTAACCCTTCACATGCGCATTCATAGACAACAGCTTTGGAGAGGCAGACCTCAAAAACAAGTGAAGCTTTTTTAGCCTTTGACGTGAAATAATTTTCCAGGAATGGGGTGAGTGACGGGTAGAGAAGGTTACACGGGCCACAACCAAAGAGGACTCACGTGCTACTCTAACCTTGCGTTGCTAGGCGGGATGGAGAGATCGTTCTCCTCAGTGTTGCTGTTTTTATTACTTCCCACATTCTACAAAAATTCTTTTATTTAAAATGTGAAGCTGGTGCCTAGAGTTTCTGGTGGAAGCAGAAGTTACGCTCCTCTGGGGAGCCCTCTGTGTGAAGTCTTCCTACACAGTGGCACACAACAGCCTTCTCCATACCTACCACATCTTTCCAATTTTTCTGTGGCACGCCTTTACTGTCAGTTATGAAGGCTTTATATTCATATCCCCTCGCTTTAAAGACCAGCAGTGGGAGGGTGGTGCTAAACATCTGCATGAAGCCATTGTTCCTTTGGGAGGAGGCTTCAGATCTCTAAGGCGGGAACCCATGTTCATGTCCCTCCTCTCCCTCAGCACTGAGGCTCTCTTTGGGTTTCTGACTCTACCTGAAGCTTAGCACCATTGTTGTGGGATAACTGGACTCAGCGTACCTAGCAGATGTTTCTGTCATAACCTCCGCAGGAGAGCCTGCTCCCATCCGTCCCACGAACCAAGCACCAGCCTGGCCATTCACAGTAGCAGTGACGCCTTAGGCTCTGAAGACCAGTCAGTCTAGCCTCTGCCTAGGCTGCCTGGGTGAAGAGTGGAAGATGACCTTGCTGTCATTTAACTAACACATGCTTTCTGTAGAAAAACAGAAAGTAGAAATAGACAAAGAGATAGGAGGATACAACTCATTATTGCTGTCACCCAGATACAGTTTGCTATGTCATTCCATGTGTTTTTCCTACATGTGTGGCAGGGTAGATCCCGTCCAGGCCTCCAGGGTGTAAGCCTCTCCACTGACTTTTCATTCTGGAAAGTTTCTGTTTGGTTAGTTGGTTGGTTTTGTTTTCTTTTGAGGCAGGGTCTTACTACGCAGCCCTTCCTAGTCTGGAACTCACTGTAGACCTGGCTGGCCTTGAACTCACAGAGATCAGCTGCCTCCGCTCCTGAGTACTGAGATTAAGGGTGTGCACCCCCACACCCGGCCTGCAAAGTTTATTAAAGGTGAGGCTATAGCACAACAGAATGAAAACACGACAGCGGTGTGTGTTGATAGAGACTAACGGTATGTATAATGCCTGATACGCAACGGCGCACGGACTTGTGGGTATGTGATTGGGGGAAATATTCTTTCTCTTTTCCCTTCAACCAGTGACACTTCAAATCTCCTGAAATCAGCTGGCAAGGGCCAGAGAGTATCGGGGAAATGTGTGTATGTATTTCCCCACATTGGGCACCACGAGAAAGAGAGTTCCCAGTTACTCTCCGAGACCTAGAAGCTCCACGGAGGAGGGGGACGAGGGGCCACAGAGAGTTGTCAAGGAAGCGAAAAATGATCTTCAAGGGTGAGAATGGGTCTGACGGGCCGAGGTTCCCGATGTCCTGTTTGATTTGGGGTCTCTTCCTCGTGGATGGCATTTCAGTGAGAAGACGGAGGCACTGGGGTCCTCGTTGCTGGATCTGTTCTCCAGGTGGAAACAGGAACAACAGAGAAAGGCCTCGTCGACACTAACTCTTATGTGCTTCCAGATGCAGTATTTGGGGGTGATGGTCCCTGGGTTTCCTCATTGTGTCTGGGAAGACCACTTCAGGCTTAGTTTGAGGCTTGGGCCAGTTGGACTGCCTTCTCCACAGACCCCATGACAGGATCCCTGGGAGGGGATCTTAGAACCCATTTGGTTAATTAGCCTTGTAATGTGACATTTCTGTGTCGATACAGAAATTACACTTAATATATCTTTCACTGCAGACTATAATCCATTCAGGAAGCCACTGTATTCCTTCTCATTTCTGTGCTAGTAGAGCGCTCTCATCAATATTCTCTTCTTGCCGCTTCTGCTTTCCTTTCTTGGAATGAATTCTCAGAAGGGTAACTGGTAGGAAAATATGCTCACGCATTTTAACACTTTTAAATGTCTGTTTTCAAAACTATTGATACTCTCCATTTTGGGAAAAGTCCTCAAACTTCACTGTGGGTCAGAATAGCTGTCATGGATGCCGAGAGCCACAAGCAGGGTCCTTTGATGGAGCTCAGATGTGGGCTTGGCCAGATGGGCTGTGTAGATGCTCCTGACTAGGGATGCTCTTACTGAGGCCCTGCAGGTAGAGAAAGCCACAGGGCAGCCTGAGTTGATGCTCGGATGCCAGGCTGGGACCAGAATACATCCATGGGATAGGAGTTGCTCTAGGATCCCCCTGATCTCCACCCCTACAGTCCCGGTGAGGTGGTGAGAGATGACAGTCCCAGTCTCTCTCCTCTTTTCCCCCTGCGAACCTCATCTCTGTGACCTTCACCTCTGTGACCCTCACCTCTGTGCAGTAGCAAAACCCGTCAATGAAATGGAAAGAAAACCCAGGGAGCAGGACCTAGCCATCCTTTAACTCTGCCCCCTTCGCCTGACAGCTGCCCTGTGAAGCTGGCCTGCCAGTTCATCGGCCACTCCATGCTCCTGACCTTTGTTTACTCAAAACCAAACCTTAAGGAGCCAGGACTCTCCAGTCCCCATTTCTGTTCAGAGCAAGCTGTCCCTGCTCTCTGCTTGTGTCCCAAGTGTCTCTCTTACTACAGTTAGCTGTGGCTCTCCGCCTCACAGCGGCTGTGTCGCCAACCCAAAACTGTCCTGGGCTTAGCCTGCTGGGGGGAGCAAGGAAGTCCACCAAAAGCTGTGCTCTGTGCCATCTGTCCCCTTCCCGTCATCTCCCTCTGTCCCTCTCCGGCTGTCTTTTGACTTGTGGTGTTTGGGGTTGGTTGGTTGCGTTGCTGCTGTTGTTGTTAATTGAGGGAGGGGATGTTGACCCAGCATCTCACAGATAGCCAGGCTGGCCCTTGAACTGATTCTCTCGCCTGCATCTCTAGCTCACTCTGTCTTCCTTACCTTGTCTTCTTAAGCCCAGTAGGCCGTGTACACCTGTGATCCCCGCCTGGGGACATTAAGACTGTAGGGTCAGGAGGTGAAAGATGACCTGAGTTCCAGATCGGAGACCTGTCTCAAAAAAGAAAAAAAAAAAGACAGAAAAATGGTAAAACTACAAATCAAGTCTAACAAAGAAGCTCTCCCTTAACTGCCATCCATGCCCATGGTAGACCCCACGTTTTCAACTCCCTGAAGTCAGAGTCTCTGACATGAACATCTTCCACTTCCAAATGGGGGGAACCAATGACCTTTGTGCTGGTCAGCCATGGGATGCTGGGCCCATGAAGAGCAGGAAAGGAAAGGGGGCCCCAGGAGGCAGTTTATTCCACAGAAGGACGACGCCTCTAACATTTCTCTCTGTGGGGAATTAGAACAGCTTTCTGTTCAGGAGGGAGCTTGAGGTTCCAAGGCAGGGACAACAGCTCAAGTCAAACTGAAAGGATGGAGGTGAGGGCCAGCGGGGACCAGATGAGCAGCCAGTCCCTGTCCCCGGCCGGCGGGGACCAGATGAGCAGCCAGTCCCCATCCCCGGCCTCTCCCTGGATTTCAGACTTTCCATTATTTCCACATTGCCGGACGCTCTCCATTGATTAAATCACATCCTACTGTTTGAAGGAGAACCTATAACAGGCCTTGACTTGTGTGTCTTCCAGGCAACTATGGTCCTGAGCTCTGCATACTTCTGGCTGGGATTGTTCCTGGTTCCAACTGCCTGTTTGATTGAAGATGTGATGTGGAGAGCGTAAGTATATAGTGAAGTCCTTTTTCCAGGCTTTGCACCTCTGCCGTCCTCAAAGCTGTCTCAAAGCTGTGGGAATTAAGAAGAAACAGGACTCCTGACACTTGCCAAAGAAAGGGTTTTTGTTGTTGTTTGTTTGTTTGTTTAAGTTTGCCCTTCATTTTGAAAGGAAAACGAGAGGAAAAAGAATACTGAGCAGAGGTCACATGACACTCAATAGGGGCATTGCCCTGTGTATGACTGCAAGGCTGTTTCCAAACACAAATGCATTTCATCAGGTTTAGGAGACATGACCGGAGACTCATTTCGCATCTTCAAGCTGATGCCAAGCAATCACAGATAATGCCTGCCTCGAAGCCCCAAGTATAGTAGAAAATCATATGCATGTAAGTCGCTTCCGTGACAAAAGTGAAGGAAGCTTCGTTCTTCTAACCAACTCACAGTAGGAATCCTGCCAATCAAATTCTTCTCAAGAGCTGATTTACAACTATGTAAAAAAAAAAATCGCATCACAAGTATAAAATTATAATGCACATTAAATGGGAATTAATTCAAACTTGCTTCCTGTTCCTATGTTTTAAATTTTATCATTCCTAAAACATAAAAGAAGCACTGATGTCCCAAGAGAATACGACCTTTAATTTCACTCAGGAGTAGATGAGAGATTGCTCTAATGCCCATAGTATTGGCTTAGGTTTGCATGAGCCCAATTCCTCCTAGAAATATGACCAAGTTCCCTGAAAATTGAGACTTCTAGCTTGAGCAAACCACAATTATTTCAGAGCCCTGAGGTAGCAAAATGAGATTTTTAACCCAAGCCTTCCAGGAAAAGACATCAGGTCTCATTTTTTTATCTCCTCATGCCTCCCACACTTGGCAGGAATTATTCTTGCTTGACAGGGATATCTTTTGAAAAAGTTTTCATTTGGCCATTATCTTGACGAGTGATTGTACTGATGCAGAGAGAGGGGGGAAATGATTTTCCTAGAACGAATACTTTGTTTATGTTTTTCTCCTGCTAAGTTTTTCAACTACTACTAAAAACCAAATAATTTTAACTTCTTTTTTTTTTTTTTTTTTTTCCCGAGACAGGGTTTCTCTGTGTAGCTTTGCGCCTTTTTTCCTGGAACTCACTTGGTAGCCCAGGCTGGCCTCGAACTCACAGAGATCCGCCTGCCTCTGCCTCCCGAGTGCTGGGATTAAAGGCGTGCGCCACCACCGCCCGGCAATTTTAACTTCTTAAATGCTCTCACAGGCCAACTGCTTCTGTTTCATTTGCTACAAGTATGTTCTGTAAATGGCAGAACTGGAACCTTTGGGATGGTTGTAGCCGGGAGAGAGATTTCCTTAACCTAATAGATGCACTGGGGAGAAACATTCACTCTGTTACTGGTTCCTTGAGCCAGTGGGCCCAATTTTGGCACAAGATGTTTATTCCCTAGCTGAATTTGTACAGCTCTGCAAATCAGTCAGTTTTAGGGGTAAGCTTCTGCTTGGCTTGGCTGCGTCTCATGGGAAGTAGTTACAGGCTCGCAAATTCATCCCCAACTATCTTAATTCAGATAACTTAAATTAACGTCATGAAAACAGAGTTTTATTGAGGCTTGTTCTGCCAAGTGGGTCTTCGGCAAAAGTATCTTTGTTTCATTTCAAAGAGGATGTTTATGGATTGCAAGGGCTCTCTCTGCCTCCTCCTCTGTCTTCAGAGCCCCTCCCAAGGCAGCTCAAGTGCAAACTCTCCGTCACCGTGAAGCATGGGATGTCCTCCCTCCAACTAGACTTGTCTCTCAGTCCCATTTGTAGGACCTAGACTATAAAATTAGCACCGTTTGCATTTGAACGATGATAGATCAGATGATACCGCTTCCAGGTCCGGCATATGGAAAGAGTAAAAGTCACTTTCTCTCCAAGGAGCTTGCCAGCTGGGTTCCAGCCGGGCCCAGAGCCCCACACAGAGGTTTGAGGAGCCAGCGGGGAAGGCTGCCCTTGCCTGTGGTATTGTTGAGGCCCTGGCAGCTGCTGCCTGCTGCCTGGCAAGGGTGGCAAGCACAGCTTCTCCTAGGAATGCATCCCATCACCTGGCAGAGCCAGAAGGGGCCCTCCTGACTTACATAACCACTCTCCAAACGCATTTTGCTCTTGCATTATTGAGAGGAGCTAGAACAGTGTGTTAAATTAGCTGATGTTCAGAGGTGCTCAAAGTATAGGCCCATTTGCAATGTCTGCTTGGTGCCTAAACGTCTGCCATCCCCATCCTGAAGAACAAGAGTTTTATGGATGTATGTGGGCATTGTCCCACTGAACATGGGATCTATATCCTATATAATATTATACTCCAAGCTGGAAACATTTGCCAAGGCAAGTAAATCTGGTAGCTCCTCCCAAGAAGAGGAGAGGAAGCATGTGTTGTCAACCGATTGCCCCTGGCAAAGCCACAGAACTCGCCTGTGATCTCTGTGTCTGAACTGCAGTTATGCACAGTTGTAGAAAATTTTCTCTGTGCTCCCATGCTCTGCCACGCTCTACACCAGTGGTTCTCAACCTGTGGGTCATAACTCCTCTGGGATCACGTAGCAGGTATTTGCATTACAAATCATAACAGTAGCAAAATTACAGTTATGAAGTAGCAACAAAATAATTTTATGTTTAGGGGGTCACCACAATATGAGGGACTGTGTTAAAGGGTCGCAGCGTTAGGAAGGTTGAGAACCTCTCTGTCTATATCCACCCACCATTTATTTTCTGATGCCTCTCTTTTTTTTGCTAACACAGTCCTTGTACTAACAAATATTCTCCCACTGAGCTATACTCCAAGCCTTTGGTTTTTTGTTTGTTTGTTTTTTGTTTGTCTTGGTTTGGTTTGGTTTTTTGTTTGTTTTTGTTTGGGGGGTGTGTTTGTTTTTGTTTTTGTTTTGAGATGAGTTCTTTTTAGATAGCCCAGGCTGGCATTGATGTTAAGATTCTGTTGCCTCAGCTCATGAATGCTGGTACTGGAGGCAATAGCACCCCAGGGCTGGTTGCCCTGTCTTTGAAAACGTCATCACAGAGCAGGCCTGACTTTTCAGAGCGGATGTCTATGAGCACCCGAGACAGTGAGTGACTCCCTCCTAGGCACCTCTTACTTCCTTTGGCCAGTCCCTCACTTTCATTTCAGGACCTGGGCTGCTAAGAGTAAAAAGAGAGAAACAGGATGAGGTAATTCACTTTTCCACCTAGTTCGTCAGCTTTCTGGATGAAGAGCCATTTTTAGCCAATCTTAAGTCAGATTTGGAGCACCATCAAAAGCCTGCCCTATTATTTCTCAAAAGTTTTATGAGGGCTCAAATGGCCCTATTGTTTATTAACATATTTGATTATATGTGATTCCTGGCTAATGAGAAGTCTTGTTAGACGCGTGGAGTGTAAATTGTCCAGAACTGTTTTAATATCCGCTAGCCTACATTCTCCCAAAATGCTCACCTGTGACAGCATGCTGGACTAAGCTGCCAGGTATGGCTCTGAACCCAGGAGAAATTGGTTACTGTCACTCTCTATAAATGATCCAAAGCTCAAGGCCACCGAGCATGGAGGAACACACTTCCTTTTATCAAACTATTCCCTGTCTTTTTCACTAGGCATCATACACTGCATTCCCCAGTTCCAGAATGACTTCATTTCCTCATAATTACAGATAGGTAGTTAAATGGCAATAAAGCAATTTCTGTGTACAAATGGGCCTTGATTGCTTTTTAAGATTCTCACCAAACCGATCTCTCTTGGAGCACACCGTGTTTCCATTTTCACCCACGGTTAGAATTTGATGTTTCCGGTTGGCTGGCTGCTCTTGAATGCAAAAGAGGGAGCTCAGACAATAAGTTTTAGAAACAAAAGGATGAAAAGTACAAGATTCCAACCCAAGCTGTTTCTTTTTAAAGAACCTAAGGGGACATGAAAGCAGAGAAGGAGTGGGACCAGGGGGAGGTGGATAGAGAAGGTAGTGAGGGGCTGAAAATGATACAACACACACACACACACACACACACACACACACACACACACACACACTCCTATGGACGTGTGAAAATCTCACAGTGAAACCCACTCCTTTGTACACATAAAGCTAATAAAAAAAAAGGCGAAAGTCTCTTAAAACCTTGAGATGCCCTTTCCTGTATCAGAAAGCTCACAGTAACTCATCTGTCAGTGCCCCCAGATGTCTCCATTCTATTCCTTCTGCAATTGCCTGGTGTCTTGACTGGGACGAGATGAAGGAAGCTGGGCCACTGGGGAGAAGACAAGATAATCTGACTTCAGAGCTATGACCTAGTGGCTGCACATCTGTGGCACATGCTTATAGGTTTGCCTTGATAGCTGGTCAGTCTGAAATCACTACACGCGTGTGTTACAGGGAGACCTAAGATCACTTTTCTCCCTCAGCCCTCAGTAGGTCACAGCACTTGAGGAAATGGTTTTAAATTTCTGACATCCTTCTACTCAAGTGCTACCTGCCTCCCTAGGCTTACAACCCAGAGCTCTCAAAAGTGGATGAGTACCAAGCCTAGCTCTAGAAGCCAGCCTGGCATTGCATCCTCAGAGGAAGCACAGTTTCTGGGTTTATGGACATGAGCATGTCATTGCCCTCCCAAGGCCAGCATCTGCATGCTGGGTGTCACATTCTTTGTTTCTTGGCCTAGGCTTCAGGTCCCATTTTCCTACTGCAGCTCCATGCCTATTCTTCCTACCTCAAGGCCCAGCAACTTTGTCTGTCCTGTCCCAGAAGACAGCAGTCAGACTAGCAGAGAGGTTGGCTGTCCTGTGCAGAAGCAGGGGGCAATGTGGGGAAGCATGCCCACCCTAGTGTAAAGGGACTTTGAGCAGGGAGGAGCATGCCACTTGGTTTCTTATCAACACAGCCCATGAGCTTGTACGGGATATGGAACATTGAGCAATATTGGACAGTGTACATTTTCATGTCCTTTCTCTCTCCTGCGAAATATTGGCCATTTTCTCATTTATTGTTTAAAATTCCACGGTCCCCACTTTGAACTTGATATTTTATCAGAACTCCGTTTGAAGTAATTAAGGTATTATGTGCTAAAGCCTGTGTGGCTTTGGCTTGTTTACTCTGTGGGGAAGGATGGCAGGCGCATCTCCCATGTCTTCCTGCTAATACTCCATTACAGATTAACACGAAGTGCTGGGTGACCTGGCTGTATCTGAGCAGCTCCACTGTCCTTACATGTGGAGGGCTGCTGGGAGGAGCGAACCCCCATCTCCAAAATGTTCCCGACCATTTTCACTTCCGAGCAGTCACACTCCGTCCTGGTTCCTATCCCGTCTGCACCTTGGTGCCGAACATGCTCCCCAAACACAGTTCATGAGCAGAACGCCATTGCAAAGCTGTTTCCGAGGCAGATGACCAGCGCTGCCCGATGATGATTGTCAGGACTTTATGCAGCATTTTCCTTCCTTTAGCTAGTCTACCTTTTTCTTTTCCTTTTGGCTGGTGGTGGTGGTGATGGTGGTGGTGATGGTGGTAATGGTGGTGGTGCCACTGCTGCTGCTGCTTCTGCTGGTCCTGGTCCTGGTGTTGGTACTAGGAATTGAGCCTCGGGCCCTGTGCAGAGGGATAAGTGCTCTACCACTGAGCTACATTCCCAGCTTATTTCTCGTTAAATGACTTTTCTTCACCTACGCATTTCCAACCAGAAAGTCAATTTTAGTTTTGTGTAGTTTTTTGCTTAGTTTCAAATTTTAAAAAATTAATGCATAAGATTTATTTAATGAGAGAATAGGATGAAGAGAATTATTAAGCTGGGGTGGTGGAAGGGTAGTTCAGTGGCAGAGCATTTTTCTAGCATGTACTATGCCGGGGCTCAATTCCCAGCATAGCCAAAACAAAGAGAGATGAGATGTCTTGAAGCCAGGAAGCCAGCTCTTTAGGAGACGCTGCCTCGGTGGGGACAGTGTAGTTTTCACACCAAACTGTGCACAGCCATGGGGCCCAGTGCAGGAGTGGAATGTATGTATTCAACAGGTTAGGGTTTAGCTTCCATTTTAGAGGAACCTGAGATCGACAGATTATTCGACCATGGCAAGGGATTTCGTTTAGCCAGGGAAAGGAGCAGTAATTCCTCCATGACCCGAGAGGAACCAAGCCTCAGGCCAGGTTTTACCCATTGAGGCAGGAAACCATCACTGGATTTCCTGAGTAAGCCCCGGCCAGAGGAGGATGGGAAAGCTGCACTGGATATGCATTGACTCCAAACCTCAGACCGAGGTCTTGCACTGAGAACATGAATTCTGGTATCCTAAACCTCATCTCTGCTAAGGCAGTGGCTCTATTCACAGTAAACAGGGAGACAAGAACTTATAACCCTGGGCCCTATGACCTAGAACCTGTACAGAGAGAAAGGTTTAAAATATCTCATGGACTTCATATCCTGCAGTGAAAGTTCTAAGGACCAACTTTGATCATCGGGGCTCCTCTTGTCTTTGGTTAGAATTGCCCGGGCCGCAGCTTTTATGGGGTATGGTAACCTATGTTTCACAGTCCAGGTCTCATCTGGGGTACTCAAGGATGCTTTGGAGTGGGGAAGTCAAGCTCTTAGGACATGCTCAGCTTGTCCAGAGGGCACCTGGGTGTGGTAGGGAGGATGATTTCCAGTCTTCACAGCTGTGTCACAGTCACACACCATCTTATCTGTCTGTTTCTCCTGCTCTAGGACCAAGCACACCTGCAAGAAGACGCTGCTGGAGGAGGTGCAGGAGCTGGAGACCAAGTCCCGAGTCCTGGGGAAAGCGATGCTGAGAGACAGTAATGGAAAGAGGTGGGCTCCCCCCCCCCACGCGCGTTCTCCTGCCCCCTGCCATCTCGGATTTCCCCTCCTGGGCTCATGTTCAAGGGCAGCATGGTGGGTTCAGTTTCAGGCGTTCTGATTACATGCTGAGAATGCGGTCAGGGTGAGCTTCAAATTGCATCTTCTCAGAAGCCATGAGAATCTGAGTTTCTGGGTCACTGGGCCTGTCCCCAGGTAATAGGAGTGGTTTTGTTGGGTTTGGGATGTGGACAAAACAGTCTTGTGAATAATGGACAGCATAGCAATATTTTCTAAAGGGAAGGAGATGGGACTTAAAAAGTATCCAAGAGCCAGGCCTTTGGTTTCAGGCCCAACCATGTTACCCGAGGCAGAACAAGTAGAGGAGTATGTGGTTAGTGGTGGAGAGCTTTAGCTGTCCATGAATGTTTCATTACAGTCCACTTCAGTAGACCTGAGGGGGTTTCCTCCTTTATTTACATTTTATGTATATGGATGATATTTTGCCTGTATATAATGTAAGTTTGTGTACCACATGTGTGCAGTACCCACAGAGGTCAGAACAGAAGAGGGTGTTAGATCCCCAGGGTCTGGCGTCACAGAGATGGTTGTGAGTCCCTATCTGGGTGCTGGAAATTGAACCAGAGTCCTCTGATAGAGCAGCCAGTGCTCTTAGCTGCTGAGCCATCTCTTCAGCCCCCTGAAGGGAGATATTTTTAATGAATTATCACATCTTAGTAGATTTGAGAAAGGTTGAGAACACTCTTGGCATATGTCTTAAGGTTTCTATTGCTATGAAGAGTCACTATGACCACGACAACTCTTATAAAGGAAAGCATTTAATTGAGGTGGCTTCCAGTTCAGAGGTTCAGTCCATTATCATTATGGTGGGACATAGCATCATGCAGGCAGACATGGTGCTGGAGAAGTAGCTGAGAGTCCTACATCATGATCCAGAGGCAACAGGAAATGAACTGAGACACCAGGCAGTGTCTTGAACATAGGAGACCTCAAAGCCCACCCCTACAGTGACACACTTCCTCCAAGAAGGCCACACCCACTCCAGCAAAGCCACACCTCCTAACAGTGCCAATCTCTATGAGCTTGTGGGGCCAATAACATTCAAACTACAACAGCATAGCAGCGGCTGCTTCTCCTCCTTTGTCAGCAAGTGTCCAGCTGCTTGGCCCCACACTCAACAGGTGACTGGGAAGAGTGTGTCTTTCCTCCCATAAGTTCATCAGGGTAAATTTATCAGAAATCTATATGGCTCTGGGCCGAGTATCATCTGCAGTATAGAAAGATGGCCATGTTTAATGTGGAATGTCTAGGAAAGTCTGAGTGCTCTTCTCCTAAGTGCCTGAAAGGAAATCTGTAGCTAACTTCTAAGGCCTAGAAACTTGTAGAAGTTTCTGCTTTGTGTTTTCTTTTTAGATGTATTTATTTATTATGTATACAGTATTCTGCCTACACACCAGAAAAGAGCACCAGATCAAATTACAGATGGTTGTGAGCCACCATGTGTTTGCTGGGAATTGAACTCAGGACCTCAGGAAGAACTGCCAGTGCTCTTAACCTCTGAGCCATCTCTCCAGCCCCTCTGCTTTGTTTTATATTGTGTTTGTTAGAACTATCTTTTACAGCAATGGAATCAAAGATACTTGGTTTGTAACAAAGGGGATTTGGGGCTAGGACTGTTGATCGGTCCATAAAGTGCTCACAGGGCAAGCATAGGGACCTGAGTTCGACACCAAGCATGTAAAAAGTCAAACAGGGCAGCACTTGCAAGCCCTCCACTGGAGAGATTTCCGTGTGAGATGATGGATTAGAAGCCTCACCACTGGAACTCCATAAAAGCAGTCAGTATAATACACTGTGAGTTCTTACCCTAGCACTAGGGGAGGTGGAAATGGGTGTGTCCCTGAAGCTCCCTGGCCACTGGTCTAACCTAACTAGAAACCAGTCTCCAAAAATTAAGGTAGGAAGAATGAGACCCAGGGTTGTCCTCTGTTCTACGCACACGAGTACACACACACACACACACACACACAAAGAATCAAGCATTTTGGAGATTTGAGAAATGTTGTTTCAAATAGCTATAGATATTTTAGGAAAGGTTTCAGAGCACGGGATTGGCATTGCAGTTTTGGTTTTGTGTATGGTTTACTTTTAAAATTTTTTATTTTAGATTTATTTATTTTATTTTGTGTCTATGAATGTTTTACCTACATATTTGTATGTGTACTGTGTGTGTGTCTAGTGCTCTCTGAGGTCAGAAGAGGTCCATGGATCCCCTGGAACTGGAGTTACAAAAGGTTGTAATCTACCATGTAGGTGCTGGAAACTGATCCTTTGTAAGAACTGGGTCCTTTGTAAGAACAACAAGTGGTCTTAACCACTGAGCCACCTCTTCAGTCCCTATGACTTACTGGTTAATAAGTGAGTGCATTAAGCATTGTGTTGGTGTTTATAAACGAACAAAACCAAAATTATTACCTTCCATAAGCTTAAAACTAGGAATACGGATGTTGCTCCCTGGTAAAGTGCTTGCCTAGTGGGCCCATAGCCCTGGATCCCATTTCCATCACTGGTAGGAAAAACAAAAACAAACAGATAAACGTAACATTATAATTAGGTGGCAGGATTCTTTTAAATGTCAAACAGTTTAGATGCAGTACTCAGTACCTACTCGATTTCCCACGACCTACAACGTTTTTTGAGACCTGAAAAACGTCATATTCATAGGCTGCAAAAGTTGGAGTGGGAAACTCAGGCAAGTTGAGACTGATAAATAGTCACAAAGATAAAATGCACAAAAAATGGGGGTAAGCACAAATTTTCACCATCAGAAGACTATGGGCCCTCTTATATATCACAGATTCTCAAGCCTGCGTGAGATTGCTAACCAAGCATAAAGAATTTCTAAGTAAAGCACAATTGTCAGTTCTAATGAGATATACCCAAGAAGAACATTCCATATACTGTGGTCTGTGTTTGCATAGCTCGGGGCAAGGGCTTCATATGGTCCAGAAGTTTCTCTGTGTGGCCTGCACTTGGCAGCATGGACAGACAGTCAGAAGACCATCTGGCTGGGGCCATCCAAAGAGGCTTTCATGCTGGAGATGGGCTGGGAAAGAGCTTAAGATATAAAGGACCCAGGAGGACAGCAGCAGTGAGTGTGTGCCAGGCAGAGGGCACCCCTGTAAAGACATCAGTAGAGATGTGCAGGCACAGACACACACACACACACACACACACACACACACACACAGAGTTTGCAGGGCCACAGGCACTTTGTAGAGATCTGGGCTCTGTGTGAACTCTGGTGTGCCCCTGGGCAATCCAGGAACACAGTGACACTGTCTCTTCATCTGCCGCAGGCAACTGACACTTTGAGGAGAAGAGGAAGGTTTATGAAATAATACCGATGGCCTGAGCCCTTGTGAGAGTGTGAAGGATCAGCTGTGTGTTCCGCCAGAGAGTCGCAGCATGAGAGGGAGCTGTGGACTATTAGCCTTGAAAAAAGACGAGAGCCCCATCTTCCTTCATAAAAAGATGGGGTGATTCAGGGCCTCTCAAGTACTCCACCCCTGAGCTATACAAACCCCTCGGATCTGTCAACAGAGAGGGCACAGAGACACCATCACCCTCAGCAGCCTGAGGGGTCTCCCTAATCTAAGGGAACTCGGCTCAGGATAAGCCTGGATTTGTAGCTTTAACTCAGAAAAAAAAGAATCTCAGGCTGAACCAGTATGAAGCAGAACTGAAGATATTAAAGGTATTTTAATAGAAGCCCGAGCATGAGGATTAGGAGAAAAAGACACTCAGAAAGTCATCCCCATGTGTAGGGCTCTGCTTCTCAAGTGAGAATAGGAGGAGATTGAGGTGTACCCAAGTTTAGGTATGGGCTCTTCAAGGGAGAGATGCAGTTCAGCATCTTAGAATTATTCATATGCGCCATTTGGGTGGCTCTGAAGTTCCATTTCTAAAGGTTTTTAGGAACCCTCCCCCCTTACTGTCTTGATAAGAGAAATTATAAGGTAGTGAGGGGTGCCTTGGGCTGATTTATAATCCAATACCAGGAGCCCCTAGGATTGCACATGGTGTGCAGTACATGTCCCTTCCCTGGAAACTGAGTTTCTGGTCAGATTCCTCGAAAATTGCAGGTTTATGGGGCGGAAGGGAAAGGCCTGCGGTAGTTGTTAACTACTGGAATTCTTGCTTCATTGCTGATGAGAGGTGTTGGGTGAGTGGTCCTTTCTCTTCGCACTTCTCCGAGATTTTTCCTGCCTTTCAATCTCGCCTTTAATGTGTATCTTCCTGTCTGTCTACTGGCAGGATGACGGGCATGTGCCACCACACTACACCACAGCCAGCTTTCAGTGGCAATGGGGAACAGCCAGGGCCTTGGGCACACGGGGCAAGCACCCTGCCCTGGAGCTCCCTCCCCAAGCCTTGTGAATGTAAGTTTTAAACATCTACCAGGTGTGATGGCACACACCTTCAATCCCGCTACTCAGGAAGCAGAGGCTGGCAGATCTCTGAGTTTGAGACCATCCTGGTCTACAAAGCAAATCCCAGGACAGCCAAGACTACACACAGAAACTATTTCAAAAAGCTAAAGGAAGAAAGAAAGAAAAACCAAGTAAACAAACATCCACTTAGAAAAATCTACCCCTACACATCCAAGCAGGTCCCCAAAGGTAGAGTTTATGTGTGGTTTTCTACTTGCTGCATTTGAAGACCCATGCCCCTAACCTAGGATGAGTTCCATGACTTTGTAGTTGGTGTGATTACATGTGTGTGTGTCTGCAAGAACACATACTCAGAGTGTGCATGCCATCACGAGGTCAGCCTTTCCTTTTCTTATTGTCCACCATGTCATTCTGGGATTGCTCATCAGAGGTTGTGGGGACCCACTGTCCCCCACAGTGTCTATATCTACCCTTTGTTTTTCCCCCTTCTAATCAGGTCATCTGCCCACTAGATAATAGGGCATGCTGTTCTCTCCA